GAGAATTTAAATGCCAGAATTAAATAAAAAGAAAGAAAAGAAAATGAAAAAGAAGGAAAATATAAAAAATGTCAAATTAAAGAATATAGAAACTAATTTGTCGAAAAATTAACCGAAAATAGGGACGCTCACCACAATTACAAAGTACCGTATCGCAAACAATATCATGAATAATTCAAGAACCGGTTCCTGATATGTTGACCAGTTGGTATCAGACACAGTGAGTCACTTTTTAGTTATTAGCTAGTACTAATGAAAATTGTAAAAAATTTTGTTTGACTGACTGAGTCAGTCGGTGTCGCTCGTACACAGTAATAAGTCCTTCTGACGAAAAATTTTTTATCATTTTACAATTTTCATTAGTACTAGCTAATAACTAAAAAGTGACTCACTGTGTCTGATACCAACTGGTCAACATATCAGGAACCGGTTCTTGAATTATTCATGATATTGTTTGCGATACGGTACTTTGTAATTGTGGTGAGCGTCCCTATTTTCGGTTAGTTTTTCGATAAATTAGTTTTCTATATTCTTTATTTTATATTCTTAATTTGACATTTTTAATATTTTCCTTCTTTTTCATTTTCTTTTCTTTCTTTTTATTTAATTCTGGCATTTAAATTCTTGAGGGTTTCTGTGACGTCCTGAGTCGCGTGTTTGATTTCTCGGAACGGCCTCGAGGAGCCACACTAAGTCGTGGGAGCGCGAGCGCGGAGCGGGGGCGCGCGGGGTGAAGCCTTGACTTCGGCGAAATTCGTTTTCGGCGTGTGTTTACGCGTGAGGCAGACTGTTGTCACCAGTGCCTTAGTATAGGCATTGAAATAGTATTGAAATATTATTGTTCTGTTAGCGAGATATCTTTTATTTTATTTGATTCGTTTTATTCTTCCGTCTTCCCTCGTTATGCTGGGAGGAATAATATTTGAGAGTTTAGAGGAATTGTCAGATAGAGCGCCCGAGACACACGAAGGTGTACAAGGAATTTATGAAGATATTTAAATCTCTTTCCTTGGGCAGCTGTGATGTTCATCACTCGCTTCTCTCTATCTACGCTCTCTGGTGTCAGTGCGGCACGGGAACAGGGAAGGATATAGAAGGGGCCTTGAGGGCAAATAAAGTAATGACCTTTTATTAAGATTTGATTATTTTAATTTTGACGCTACAAGGTGCATGGTTTACGACCAGAGGTTTCGTGGTAATTAATATGGGCCTGGTGGCCTTACGGACGGGCGCCACGTGTGGTGGGGACCGAGGGGGTGCCGGCCGCGGCTGTGGAGGTGCGGAGGTTGCTGGTTGTCGGCCCTATCTATGAGGGACTCGGAATCCTTGAGGCGGTCCGAGGGGGTCAACGCGACGGTGGCGACTTTCTCGGACCCTTCGAAGTCCTCCGTCCAATGCGCGGAAGGGTTAAACGTTCCTCCGGCGAGGAGCTCCCGCTGGAGTATCTTCAAATGGGCGCGCCAGCCTCCTCGTTTACCACGCGGACGTTTCTTCTGTGCCATCTATGCCCAGAAAGAACGTTTGTGAGTATGGTGGTTGGAAAGAAAGAGTAGGAGAGCGGAGGCCTCGACGCCGTGGAAGGCGCTCGTTTGGAGTTCCGCTGGCAGTTAGCTTCGGCGTCGCCATGGGCAGCGCTGCCAAAGCTAGGGGAGGAGATGGCCCGTCAGACGCCGTGGGTGGCGCACGATCGGGGCCGAAATTTCGGCAGGAAGTGCGGAAAGATCCAGAGCGCTATTTAAAGTGCTAGGAGTGCTTACCGTTAAGAGTTTTTGGGAATAAGTAAGGACGCTTGTCTTTGAACGCTCTGTTTTATATATTGTTTATTTCGTGGCCCCTCGCAGCAAGGGGATGTTCTCGTTCACGTGCTATTGCGAAATCACTATTACGTGCCGATTATGTAATTTATGATTTATTCTAATGGTGATTAGTTTTTAGTTAGTTTGCGCCTTTTATTTCGCTGCGGGGGTCACGAGTTTCGTACTGGCGCGCTCAGTCGTCGCGTACTGCAGCCTGTTGCGGCAGAACTTGCATCTGTTCTTTGTGTTTTTTCCTCATAAGTTTCTTGTATCTTACCGGATCCTTTTATACTTTATGCGCGTGGAATTTGGTGTTTATTTAAGGCCTTTTCTCAATTGTGTGCGCTTTGGTTTTATTTACGATGATTTCGTTCGTATGCAGGGCCCTTTTGTGACCGGTGGGTGCATTCGTGGTTGCGCGATGCATTGCATTGGCGTTATGCGTTTTTATAGTTTTTCCGCAGGTCTGCGGTTTTTCCCTGCAGCTGCGTCGAGGTCGGTTGTTACCTTAATTATTCCCTACTTCGTGTTAATGGTGTTTTCTCGTAAAAGTGCATTCTTGCATCGTTTTCAGCATTTATACTTTGGCGCAAGCGCAGTGTGCGCGGCGTTCGATCGCAACGGTTTCGGTAGCTTGGCCTATAGCTGAACGTGCTTATAGTCGGCACATATTATACCCACACAACGAATTAGTTCGCTATATTCCGTGCTCGCGCTCGCTTGGTAAACGGACGGGGCGCTATATTGTAGGCGCACCAGACGTTACAGTTTCGCTAGACGCGTTCCTGCGAAATAGCCACCATGGTAGCTTCAGGAGCATTCCAGGGTTGGTCGCCCGTTTCAACCAAGTAGAGGACGAATTGCGCGCGTACCTCGGTGCAAATCTCACAGCTCCCGATTGACCGTTCGATAGCGAGCGCAGAAAGCAACGGGCGCATTTGTCGAAACGGTTGGGTGCACCGAGGTGTAGAGAGTAACGGTTGATGAGACTGTACTCCGTTCGCGAGTGAGGCGACTCCACGTTGAAGCAGCCTTCACAGAGAATTTCTTTGTTCGTGCGCGGTGCGATTCAGATAGATGCGCGACCTCGCGCAGAAAGAACTATTGATCCATGCGTGATACGCGTCATCGCCCACACCCCTGTTACGCGACTCTAGCGTTACGATACGAACATTCGTTTTACACTATAAAAGCCAATCAGTAACGCATATGCAAATAGTTGACGCGGCGATTGCGGGGCGGCGCTCTTGCGGCACACGATGGGCGAGCAGCGTGACTGTGTTGATAGCGTCTCTGTGGCCACGACGTACCACTGGTTATACACGAGTTGATGATGCGCCACGTGGTAACGCAGT